TTTCTTGGTAAGTCTCTCTATCTCTTGCTTTCAATTTCAGGTTCTTCGATCCCTCATATTCTCTCTCTCGCTTTCAATCGCAAAAATTCTCTCTTTGTTGTTATTTTCTTTGGTTGTTCTTCCCCTTTGTCGCATAAACCCTAGAACCACACTTTTTCTTCGATTTCTCATCTCCTCTCTCTCGGTTCTACTCTTCGAGTTCTGATATCCTTATCTTTCTCTCTTTGTTTAGATCTCTGTCGAGCCATGCCTAATCGTGGGAAAGGAAGAAAGAGACGAAACGCTCCTAATTATTCGCAGAGAATGGGAGGTTCCAACCCTAGTGTACGACCTAACAATCTGCCGAGTCAGTACAACTTCAGGCCGGCGCCGGTCCAAGTTCCTCCTCCGTTGCACACGTCGGATGTACCCAGCCCCGTTCAGCCAGGAAAATCAACGACGTCTCATTTCCGGGACTATCCCCCGCCTCAAAGGCTTTTCCAGAGCACCTTCACCCCCACAACGTCAAGTAGAGAAACCTCGTTCAGAAGAGGTTCATAACATACCTCATAATCAAGCTACTTCTGAGCCCGAGTCTCCGACTTCTCCATTTCAAGCCTCTGTCGGTCACAGTCTTCCATCGTCTCAAGGCAACAACTTCCAAGAAGGACCTTCCGTGTTGCCGGAACTACAAGAGGACATGTTGAGGGCTCTTAATGCTCTGCTGATGGTGCCAGGCAGGGAGAAGTTCACCACGGTCCTCCATCCTGAAGCCTTCCCAAACACGACATGGTATGTTCTCTTAACCTGAAAATGTTGTGTGTTTGAATTATGTGTCTAATAGTGAGTCTGAATTGTAATGTCATGGTGTTATTGTGTATTACACATAGTGTCTGAATTGTGTGTCTAATAGTAGTGAATTGTGTATTACACATAGAGTATTTACACATAGAGTCTGAATTGTGTGTCTAATAGTAGTGACTTGTGTATTACACATAGAGTATTTACACATAGAGTCTGAATTGTGTATTGTAATGTCATGGTGTTATTGTGTATTTACACATAGAGTCTGAATTGTTTATTGTTATGTCATGGTATTATTGGGGTCATGGTGTTACACATAGTGTCTGAATTGTGTATTGCAATTTCATGGATTTGCCTCTTCTATTTTGATGTACTGATTAGGATTTGGTGATTCTGTTGATTGTTTAATGACCGTCTTGCTTGCAACGTTTAAAGGGCTCTTTCTTTGACTACTTTTAGGCTGATGTTGAGTTTGAATTAGATACTTGTTTGTGTTTAAGTGTGTCTGACTATCGTAACATGTTTACTTGTTGTATATTTCATGTGTATGGAGGTTTGGCAAACGTGATAAAGGATCAAAACTTGTGAGGAGTATTAGAGAAGTGTTTACAAACAAGTTTGATGGTCCGTACTATAGCTGGAAATGTGTGCCTCGGGACAGACAAGGGAGATATTTTCTCGAATTCCCGGTAATATTCTCTGTCATATATATCTTTCTTATATAAGTTTTCTTAATTGTCATGTATAAACTCACCCTTCCTTTATTTTTTTTGTAGAAAACCCACACATGGGATCCTTTGATAACAGGGACTGTGCAAAAATGCTTCGCGGAAGTCTGTCAAAGGCGAATTAAAGACATGGTAAGCAACGTGAGGACTAGTGGAGAGCGACCTAACTGGATTGAAAAAACTCTCTGGAAAACAATGACTGATTACTGGGATACTGACGAAGCACAGCAAAGGAGTCAGACCTATTCCAATGCCCGTATGTCTGACCGTAAAGGTCTCGGTCCTCATGTCCACTTCTCAGGCCCGAAGTCATATCAACAAATCCAAGATGAAATGGTGAGTCACTTTCAGCTGTTACTTTCAACATTGACTTCTCTGTTATTTCTTGTTATTAATTTCTGTTTATTTGCAGGAAGAAAAACTGGGAAGAAAGGTCAGTCTAGGTGAGGTTTTCATCAAGACACATACAAAACCTGACGGTACGTATGTTGATCAGAAAGCAGAGAATACTGTACAAACATATGAGAAGAATGTGCAAGATAGATTGTCTGAGCTGGAGGCATCACCTTTTGCTGTTTCTGATGGAGCTTCACGACCACGAGAGCTCACAACAGAAGAATATACAGAAATCTTCCTTGAGGTTTAAGTTCTCTTATGACTAAGTTTATTTTGATGATACACATTTATAGATAATTGTTTGAATGTGTCATGGTCTAATCTCTTGTTTTATCTCACTTTGCAGTCCACTGACAGAGATTCACGAGGAATACCTTATGGAATTGAAAGCCTCAAGGACAGTATTCTGGTCAATGGCAAGCAGAAGCAACCAGGTGATTGTTCTTCCTTTCTATCTCTGCAAGAACAGTTGAAGTAAGCTCAACGCATGATAGAAGAGCAGGCTGCAAATGCTGAGAGGCGTGAAGCTGAGGCTCCTGCGCATGAAGCTGAGGCAGCCCGAGCTATAGCTGAGCAAGCCAAAGCTGTAGCTGAGCAAGCCCGAGCTGTGGCTGAGCAGCAGGACAAGCTCGAACCCTTGACAATGTTACAAACGTATCTACGAGGAAAGGATCAGGAGTACATTTCTTTCCTCGCAAATAATTTAGCTAAAGCGCCAGCAACAGAAACTCTTGCAACATCTCTTCCTCAACAGAATCCAACTTCAAATCCATCTCCACCTGCTTCATAAGTTTCTCTTCTCATAAACTGAATGTCACTTTCAGAATTATGTGTATGTTTGTTTTTCTTTAACCTTTAGACTGTGTGTAAGATACTTGAATGTTTAATCAATTTTATTTCGGTTTCATTTTCTTCTTTATGTATTGGTTTTGGTTTTGGGTTTCAGGTCTATTTGAATCAATTTTGCGAAATAAACTGCTTTTTGTATATACTTTTAGTCACCAAATAGTCGTCTGATTAGTCACCATGTCATCACGACGTTAGTCGCTGTTTAGTCCCTTAATATAGTCGTCAAATAGTCACTAACATCTCACGACTAAGCACTGACTAAAAGAAGGATGACCATTTATGTGAGTTAGTTAATCGTAAATTAGTCGCCTATTAGTCATGTATATGTATGACTAACTAGCGACAATGTTACGACTAAATCATTCTTAGGCACTATAGTCGTAAATTTAGTCGTTAATTAGCGAATGTTACGACTACATGATTTAGCGACTGCCAAATTACAACTACAAATTTAGTTGTAAATTAGTCGTAGTACATGCTTTAGCGAATATTTGGTGACTAAAAATGTAGTCGTTAAATGACTGTTTTCTTGTAGTGAATTGCTACTTTAATTTTACGGGATTTCTTAGCCGAATATTCTCGTAGTGAGGCAAGTGACCTAAGACGAATCAATGTAGGTTTTACAGCCTTTGAAAATTCTTACTAATTATATTATGTATGATTTTATAAGAAAAGGATCCGACTCGCATTAACGTTTTTCGGTTTCTTCGTATAATATATATGTACAAAGACTCGAATTTTCTCAAAAGCTTAAATAGTTGTTCCAACTGATATTAAGTCTTGTTCGGACTTAACGCAACTCTCGTTCACGGTACGGGTTGTAAAGTCTTAGGCCGTGTTCGAGAGGTAGGGCACTCGTTGTTGGATGACAGTGGTGAACGAATTTGTTTCAGGAACCTTGGTCGACCGACTACGAGGTCCTAAGTAGCGCTCACTATCCGTTCTTAGTGCTAGAACGGGTAGGGGTGTTACATTTACGGTTACGGTTGTTGTTATAGTTGTAGTTGCGGTTACGGTTGCGGGAGTTTGCGAAAATGGACGGTTACAGTTTCAAGTATTATCAGCGTTTTGATCAATTAGATTGACGGTTAAAAACAATGCGTTTGTAGGAGATTTATGACTAGGTGATCTGCTAGTACAATAGCGGATATAAAAAAAAATTGTGAAAAAGGAAATTGCAACTCGTAGATCTAGTTGACCATTTATTTAATAATCTATCCTTTATAATTCATTAATTGGGTCTCTTTTTATGAGACAACTTTCTCCCTGTTATCCCCCTACAAAGCTACGACGTTGATTCTGCCGAAGAAGTGAGAAGAAGATTTTATTCAGATTTTTATATTTTCTCAATAAAATCGAAAACAATATGATTTTTGAAATTGAATAGTCATTTCCCTATCCCAATAAGTTAACTGTTGCAACGTTTTTTTTTTTTATATTATAGTTCTGCGTTTTTCTCTCAGTTCACAACATATCTCTCATTGTTTCTTCTGGTTCTTGTGCATCTGGAACTTCCACATCATCAACTTCATATCCAGATCAAAACTCTTCAGTATTCAAACTCGGATTTCGTCCTGCTGCCACCACATCGGTCAGTTCTGGACCAACGCCATCTATTGCCCCAGCCACCTTCCCAACTAGATCCTTATTTTAAGCTCCTGTCATCCGAGATTGTACTTCTTCAGCATTCGGATACTCATCTGCTTCTACATAGGTTAGTTCTGCTCCAACGCTTGATTTAAAAATAAATCAAGCGTTCAGCGACAGACCAGTTAACATTATAAGTAGTTGGCAGGTCATTCCGCCACAAATTAAATGGAGGTTCGGTTGGTTTTTTTGGGCAATATCTTCTATCGCCACAAAGTTTTCGATTTGGGACATTCCAATTTAACGGATAATATGTAAATTACCGGGTTAACAGATTATTATTATGTTTAAAAAATATATATTTCGATTTGGAGATCAGTACTACAGAGATAATAGGAAGTATAGCTGATAGCTTTAAATTTATTGGGACTTTTTATTTAGTACGCAGTTAGATTATAACTTATCTGGCTAACTTTACAGTTACGTAATAATATTTTATTTATCCGGGTCATCAAAGTCTGCATATGTTGCAAATGTGTCAGTGCGTTAGCCGAGAATCTAAGATACACACGCTGCATTGACAAAAAGTTTTTAATTTTAATAAATTAATATAGGGACAATATCGTAACTTTGTGTGAGTATATGAAAGAGAACCAATTTTCCTATTATTGAGAGTATGCTTTTAGTTTCTCATTTATCTGAGCCCTCAAGTTTAATTTACCCTTGTAAAAAGCATAAACTTCTTAAGCATGATTAATAGTAAAAACCATAAATAATAAAAATATATTTACTAGTAAGACCATTAGAAATTAATTTTATTGGGACTAGCGATATTTTATTAATTTATAGTGGTTTTTCTAATTGTTAAAAGTTTTTGAAGATATGAATTGAGATAAAAAAGTAATATTAGTTTTTTAGATAATATAATTTTTATCATTTGGAATTGAATTTTATATTAAGGAATCAAAATTTGACAATAAATTACAAATATTATAGATACATTAGTTTAAAATTATGATTAATAGCCTCAGTTGTTATATTTTAATATCCTATAAAATAAATAAATTGTATGATGTATATTTATAAATTGAAAATAGAAATAAAATTTTGGTTATTTTATGACATGTTGTGGGTTATATTACAAGATTATAGTATACAAATATAACATGAAATTGTTGACATTTGTTTTACTTAGCTGTGACCCAACCCAGTACACTTCTCAAGAATACATTCATTTAAAGCCCATATAAGATTTTTAATATTATATATATGTTTCATAATACTCAAAAATAGAATTTAAGGATTTTGGCATGGATGACCTCCAAAATTTTTATAACTAATTTGGTGACCATTCTAACCACATAAAAGTAATATGCTGTATATTTTATGTCTTATTTCCTTGCCTACCCTCTTTGCATGAATTCCCATTCCTCAGTTTTCCACTCGCCCAAACGATTCCACTTTCTTACACCTATGTTTTTTTTAAATTAAAAATATTGTTTTAATTTTTCTAAAACCTCTTCCGCTTCTATAATCTTCATACGAGTTAGCGATTCCTGGTCGACTCAAAAAAAGAAGACGAACAGCGGTGGTCACGACTATATCGATACGAGCTGAGTGAGGAACAAAATCGGATCTGATCTATTTAACCTTAATAGGCTTCCCCGTGGGTTGCCAATTTCATGTCCTCTAGGGTATAGTGTTCTTTGCTAAAAACTGTATATAAGTTTGCATGGTTTGAAAAATTTTGAAAGCATTAAATCCTGTAAAAGAGGTGAGTATTGATAGCTTTACCCACTGTGGTCTTATATACGATTTCCATCTCCTATACTCTATCTGAGAAATAGAAATTCAGAACATTAAGGAAAATATAATATTAAAATTGCAACTAATACCTACACAGTGCAATCCTTATTCATCCTCAGCAAGAAGCGCGTCCATAACACGTGACCCTACTAACGTAAACTCACAATGGGCCGATATTACTTACTTAATTTCCTTCGTTATTGGGTTATATTCTTCACTTTGTTATTGGAAATGAATATTCAGCTAAATCACACTAGAATTAATAAGGAAGGATTAATTTGCAATTCTTAAAAAATAAAATAAAGTAAACACCACTTAACTGCTCCTGTATAAAATCTAAAAACAGAATTTTTTTTTATAACCTAACTAGTTGTTCTTTGACAAGAAGCATTTATTATCTATTTTATTTTGATAATTCATGTGTATTTTGTACTAAAACTATATACAGTACTATAATTTTTTAATTCCTACGAAGACAGTTATCTTCATATCGCACGCCTAAGACGGTTTTTGGCTTATGAGATAAAATATAGTTTATAATAACCACAAATGTATCTATAATTGGTTACTACGAATCTGATGAGAGTTAGTTAAGAAAAATAAGAGGACGCATGCATGATCCTACATGTTCTATAACATGGTTTGATTTGAATCAAACATCCAATCTCCATAAAGATGCGTGTGTTTGGTTTCATTACAGAGAATTCTTAGTGTAAAGATACATTCCCCTCATGCCACGATGTGAACTTAAAACTAAGCCACTTCACTTTCTCTAACCAAATCACATTTAATTATATTAATTAACATGTAGTTTTCAACATGCTCACACTATCACGAAGATTAAGACGACTACACACAAATCATAACTTATAAAAGACAAACACTTTCTCATAAAAAAATAAACAGCTAGTCTTCTTTGAATCATGTCGGATATTAACTTTATACCTTAGACATAAGCTGTCCTTACCACATTTAACTAATCAAAACACACGGGTCTTCTTCCACGCACATGCAATTAACATTACACTTTATATATTCTCCACTTATATATACTGTCTAGTTCACAAGCAAAACACTACAACTACAAAAAAAAAACAATTCTCTCTGTCTCTTACACACACATATTTAGAATTAGGGTTCTTGAGTTGTCAATGGCGAGAGAAGAATGCAGCAGCAGCGAATCTGGATGGACCACATATATATCTTCGCCTATGGCGGAAGACGAGGAAGAGGTCATTCATGAGGTCTATTATGAAAAGCAAAACATCGAAAAAGATCGTAGAAGATATGCAAATGAATATGAAAGTAACAAAGATAGCGACGATTCGATGGCTTCAGATGCTTCTTCCGGGCCAAGTTATCAACAGTATCACCAAACGAGTAATAGAGGAAAACGAAGAGAAGGTCTAGGTTTAAGGAATGGGAAAGGTGAAAGTAATAGTAAAAGTAATGGTGTTTATGATCATTATATTGATGATAAGAATAGTGGTAATCATATATCTAGGAAAAATGAAAAGAAAAAGAGTGAAAACAAAGTTAGGTATCATAAAAAGTAGTGTTTTTTTTCTTCCAAATGTTAATTGTATATTGAGATTGGATTATATACCTTCTCTCTTTTTGTTTGTGTATTGATGTTCTTTGACGCCTCTGGCAAACTGTGTTTGATTTTTTTAATTGGTTTTTTCTTTTCAACATTAATATTTATATATGTACTCATTTAAGGTTTTTGCAAGCATATTAGAAAAATATTTATTTTTCTGTTTTTATTTCCTAATTAATATATTGTCTTCTTTGATATTATCAATTAATAAGCTAAAATTATAGAAATAAAATTCGAGAATTCATCAAATTATGTAAGACGATAACTAATTTAAAACGGAGGCATCCGAAGAAATTTTTTTATCTTGAAAAAAAATATTTGTCCATGATCTTCCTAACTACATACTTTTTTTAGTGATCGTCGACACTTGACATACTAAAACTATATTAATTTCCTTTGGATTTTAACAAATTCATAACACATGCTCTCTTTATGGGTAAAGAGATGAAAGACAAAATAAAGGATAAGATTAATAGAAGTGTTATAAATCATAGTGAATTGTCATAACAAGCCCAGTAAGACATGGCCCATGTCAAGTCCGGTTTGGCCCGATGTTATGGAGGTTTAACCTTTTCCTAGTTGTATTTGGGTTTATTCATAAACTCCTTGTATGAACCTATATATATATGGTTCTAAGCTAATGAATAAATCATCTCAATTCTCTCTTTATTCTCTCTAGTCTATAACACGTTATCAGAACGATTCTCTAAACCCTAAAAGCTAAAGCTAAAATCGCCCCTAAACCTTAAACCTAAAAGATCTCGGTGGTATTGTTTATCTCGGTACTGTTCATCGTAATACTGTTAATCGGCAACACTGTTCATCGTTGGTACTGTTCAACGTCCGTACTGTTTTTCATCGCGGTTCGTTGCAGAATCTTGAATTACCGAGGTCTTTAGCTCCCGGTCCAAATCCATTCAGAATTCAATAGGTGTTCAAGAGGTAAACACCATTAACCCTAAAACCATTGTTTCATGTTTATAATCTTAAAACCATGAAAACTTGAACATGAGATTGTTGTTTGGATTAATTTTCACATGAAATTATGAAACCCTAGAACATGTGATTGTTTTTTGAAGTACTTTAATAGATTTTATAAAACCCTAAGAATATGAGATTGTTGTTTGAAGTGCTTTTCACATGCAAATATGAAACCCTAAAACATGTGATTGTTGTTTGGACTGCTTTTCATGCTAGATTTGAAACCGTAGAATATGAGATTGTTCTTTGGACTACTTTTCATGTAACCCTAAAATCGATTATAAACTTGTTTCTCATATGGATTGTTGCTTGTTTATAACAATATGAATTTATGAAATCCTAATATATGATTAACATGAAAATCGAATATGAAAGCATGAGCACCTAGAACTGCATGATAAATTTTAAAAGTCTTAAGATCATGAAATTATATGCTTGAATTTGCATGATAGGTGTTTGATCTTATAGAAATCGCATGCTAGGATTCTTGTTTAAAATCGCATGAATACTTGATGAATATGAATGTGGCATGTATGAGACTATAAAACCATGAGATATGGGATCATGAGATTATGAGATTATGAAAATCTCGTTTGGCATGTATGAGACTATAAGACCATGAGATATGAGATATGAGAATCATAAGACAGTGCATAGACCTTGTCCGGGATGATTGTTCGGAGAAAAGGGGACGCGGCTCGGCGACTTTATACTCGTCCGAACTGATGCGCGGACTACCTCTCTACCAAGCGATTGGAACGGGCAATGGTAATGAAACCTAATGATAAGCATATGTCCTTCTTTTCAAATGGATTTTACCGCCCTTAATCTCTCGGGAGATAATTACTTGCAATGGGCGTTGGATGCTAAGATCATCCTAAAATCAAAGGGGCTCGGTGAATGTATTGTCTATGGCAATGACGAGCCCGATATGAATAAATATAAGGCAATATTAATTATTCGCCATCACCTTGCAGAGAGTCTCAAGGATCAGTACTTGACTATTGAGAATCCCTTGGACCTTTGGAACGAACTCAAAAATCGTTATGATCACCAACGTACGGTGTTAATACCAAAGGCCATGTATGATTGGAGGAATCTCAGGATCCAGGATTTTAAATTCGTGGATGAATATTACTCGGCCATGTTTAAGATAATCTCTATCTTGAAAGTGTGTGGAGAAGAGATAAGTGAGAAGGATATGCTTGAGAAAACCTTCTCCACCTTCCACACAAGTAACGTATTGTTACAACAACAATATCGTGAAAAGGGCTTTGAGACATATGCAAGTCTGATCTCATGTTTATTGCTCGCCGAGCAAAACAATGAATTGCTAATGGGAAAAAGCGAGTTGAGACCTCCGGGATTAGCCCCACTCCCTGAACCCAATGTTGTTGCATCGGATAAGAAAGAAGCCAATGAGGCTAACCACGTCCAAAGATATAATAATACATCAGGCCATGGACGTGGTAAATGGCAAGGACGTGACTGTACTCACTCCGCCTTTTGTGGACAAGGTCGAGGCCGCAAGTATCACGGCGGAAAAGGCCGAAGCCGTGGTACATCTTTCAAACCACAGACCGTGATACTCGCGGCCTTTTCCGCCGTGATACCTGCGGCCTCGACCTTGTCCACGACTGGAGGAGTGACTATGGTCACGTCCTTGCCATTTATCACGTCCACGGCCAAATGTTTTACTATCTCTTTGGACGTGGTTAGCCTCTTTGGCCTCTTTCTTATCCAATGCAACAACATTGGCATCAGGGAGTGGGGCTGTTACCGGAGGTCTCATCTAGCTATTTCTCATTAGCAATTTATTGTTTTGCTCGGCGAGCAATAAAAATGAGATCAGATTTTCATATGTCTCAAAGCCCTTTTCACGATATTGTTGTTGCAACAATACGTTACTTGTGTGGAAGGTGGAGAAGGTTTTATCAAGCATATCGTTCTCATTTATCTCTTCTCCACAAAGTTTCAAGATAGAGACTATCTTAAACATGGCCGAGTTATATTTGTCCACGGATTTAAAATCCTGGATCCTGAGACTCATCCAATCATACATGGCCTTTGGTAGTAACACCGTACGTTGGTGATCATAACGATTTTTGAGTTTGTTCCAAAGGTCCAAGGGATTCTCAATAGTCAAGTACTGATCCTTGAGACTCTCCGCAAGGTGATGGCGAATAATTAATATTGCCCTATTCATATCGGGCTTGTCATTGCCATCAACAATACATTCAACGAGCCCCTTTGATTTTAGGATGATCTTAGCATCCAACACCCATTACAAATAATTATCTCCCGAGAGATTAAGGGCGGTAAAATCCAAATTATTTAGTTTCGACATCTCAAAAGAAGGACATATGCTTATCTTTAGGTTTCATTATAAACCACTTATTACCATTGCCCATTCCAACCGTTCGGTAAAGAGGTAGCCAGCACATCAGTTCGGACGAGTATAAACTCGCCGAGCCGCGTCCCCTTTTCTCTGAACAATCATCCCGGACAAGGTCCATGCACTGTCTTATGATTCTCATATGTTGTATCTCATGATCCCATATCTCATGATCTCATATCTCATGGTCTAATAGTCTCATACATGCCAAACGAGATTCTCATGATCCCATATCTCATGATCTCATATCTCATGGTCTTATAGTCTCATACATGCCAAACGTGATTCTCATTATCCCATATCTCATGGTCTTATAGTCTCATACATGCCAAACGAGATTCTCTTTTCATATCAAATATTCATGCGATTTTAAACAAGCATCCTAGCATGCGATTTCTATAAAATCAAACACTCATCATGCAATTTCAAGCATATAATTTTATGATCTTAAGACTTTAAAATTTATCATGCAGTTCTAGGTGCTCATGCTTGATCGATTTTATTTTAGAGAAATATCAAGGTAATCATGCATTCATATTCGATTTTCATGTTAATCATATATTAGGATTTCATAAATTCATATTAATATAAACAAGCAACAATCCATATGAGAAACAAGTTTATAATCGATTTTAGGTTACATGAAAATCAGTTCAAAGAACAATCTCATATTTTACAGTTTCAAAACATCGCATGAAAAGCAGTCCAAACAACAATCACATGTTTTAAGGTTTCATAATTTCATGTGAAAAGTACTTTAAGCAACAATCTCATATTCTTAGGGTTTTATAAATTCATATGAAAGTACTTCAAACAACAATCACATGTTCTACGGTTTCATAATTTCATGTGAAAATTAATCCAAACAACAATCTCATGTTCAAGTTTTCATGGTTTTAAGATTATAAACATGAAACAATGGTTTTAGCGTTCATGGTGTTTACCTCTTGAACACCTATTGAATTCTGAATGGATTTGGACCGGAAGCTAAAGATCTCGGAAACTCAAGCTTCTTCAATGAACCGCGATGAACAGTACCGACGATGAACAGTATTGACGATGAACAGTATCGAGATGAACAGTATCGAGATGAACAGTACCGCCAAGATCTTTTAGGTTTAAGGTTTAGGGGAGATTTTAGCTTTAGCTTTTAGGGTTTAGAGAATCGTGCTGATAACGTCTAGAGAGAATAGAGAGAATAGAGAGAGTAAAATGCATACAACTAATTGCCAGACCATTGCTAATGAGATCAAAATTCCCGATCTCAGCTTGGGGACATGTTGTCTTACATGCAGCTGAATAATTCGCATCAGGCCATCTAGTGAACATACATATTCCCCAAAACGATTATTAACGGGTCATAAGCCAGAAATATCCGATCTTAAGATATTCGGATGTACCGTATATATATATATCAGTTGCTCCACCACTGAGAACTAAGATGGGTACTCAGAGGAGGATGGGGATATATGTTGGATATGAATCTCCCATAATAAATAAGTAGCTTGAGCCGACCACATTTGATTTATTCAAGGCCAAATACGCGGATTGTCATTTTGACGGATCCAATTACCCACTAT